GCCTTTCCACTGAACAACTCGAAGAATTGAAACCGCTCCGTAGGGTCATGGTCTGGCAACTGAAGCCATCCAACCAATAGAACCTGAGGTTGCCCATTTGGTTTGGTTCAAACTTAAATCTTTGAAAGCGCATCGAGTTGAGCCCGAGTTGAGGCCATGACCAAGGCAATGAAAGCCTCCAAGGAATCATCAGCATATGCAGAATCCCTTCCAATATAACATTTCAACACGCATGCAATAGACAGAGTTTGTTTCCCTAGCCTTAGGCGCTTGAGTGTGCTGCAGGGCGGTTACAGGATCCCACAGCATTGGTATTGCAGCGTTTGGAAAGCTTGGGCTGGTCACTGCAGCTGCGCAGAGATGAGTTTGCACAGCCATCTAATACATGTATGAAAAGCAAACGCAAATAATGAGCCACGGTTGACCTGCTAAAGCGGACTTCCTTCTCCAAGCTGAAGATGGCATCAGCCTGGAAGTTGGGAGGTTTTTTGTACAAGATCATCAACAATTAAACATATTGTTGCCAATGGTTCATAGCTGACAAGGTTGCAAAAACCTGAAAGAAGACCAGTGGAAAACTTTTCGCTCTCAAGCCATGGTGAAGTTGCATGGGATGGACCCCCACTGCACACGGCTCCGATGTAGGAATATCTAAGAACCCCAAAACAGCTTGGTCACTGTTATGGCCCCAATCCTGCATACAGAAGGTTTCACTTCTGTATGTGCACAGCCGTGTTCATCACGGCACCCACTCACTCGCACCAAAAAAATCAGATTGCGGCAGCTCACAAGGTGTTGTGATATGCCTTGGTCCGGCAAGGCAAATGCAGATGCAGCCCAAGCTGCTAAGAGGCTAGAACAATATAAACAGAGCTAAGTTACCTCCTTCGCCAAATCCTTTGCTTCTTCCGTGCTCTTTCCTGCAGCAAGTGCAGCCCTTTTGGCTGTGTGGTAAGCGGAGCTTTTGCGAGATTGCCGCCGCTTCTTCTCTTCCTTCTCGTCCACTTCTCCATCATTGCTCTTTGCTATGGAAACGGGGGCGGACTCACCTGCCTCATCGAACTTTGAGGCCATCTTCCGCTTTGTAGATTTCCCCGCATTTTTGCTTTCCACTGGCTTGGGCTTGGTAGCGGCTGACTCCACAGCGGGCTCTTCTGCACACTTCTGCGGCTCAGAAGACTTCCTACTGCGCCGCTTGGCTGGCGGCTCCTCCTCATCTTTGCTTTCCACTGGCTTGGGCCTGGAAGCTTTCTGAGGGCCGCTCTTGCCTGACTCCTTGGCTGGTGGCTCCTTGCCTGACTCTGCAACCTCCTGGGGCACAGAAGACTTTCTGCTGCGGCCCTTGGCTGGCAGCTTCTCTTCAGAAGCTTTCTGAGTGCCTTCCTTGCCTGACTCCTCTGCAACCTCCTGGGGCACAGAAGACTTCCTGCTGCGGCGCTTGGCTGGCTGCTTCTCTTCATCTTGCTCCTTTGCAACCTCCTCGGGCTCAGAAGACTTCCTGCTGCGGCGATTGGCTGGCAACTTCTCCTCATGTTTGCTCTTCACTGGCTTGCCGTCATTGCTGGGCTTCTCAACCGACTTCCTGTGGCCTTTGGCTGGTGGCTCATCTTTTCTGGACTTTGGTTTCGACGCCTTTCCCAGCTTTTCCTCGCTCTTGTCAGGCTCCGGCAATTTCTCTTCATTGAGGTCTTCCTTCTCCTCACCCTCCTCCTCCTCCTGCTCCTCCTCCTCCTGCTCCTCCTCCTGCTCATCATCCTGCTTCGCATTCTTGCCGCGTGGCCTCCCCCTTCCACGTCCTCGTCCTCTTCCTCTGCCTTGAGCCGGCCTCCGTGCTCGCTGTTCGGCTGCCGTTACAGGCACAACCTTCTCCAAAACATCTTTTGGATACTCAATCACATCAATCACCTTCTTGTCAGCCTCAGTCTTGGAAGCATCACTTGGGCCTATCGCTTTCTCATTCTCATTTTCATGCTTCGCTCCAGGCGTGGGAGCTGCCATGATTTCAGGCTTGCTTGCCTGGCTTCCCAGTGGGTCTTCAGCCCCAAGCTTGTTTGGCAAGACCTTTGGTGATGCGGTCTCACTTGTGTGAGCTGGAGCTGCCTGGCCCCCGTGAGAATCCACTTTCTCCATGTCATCGCGCTCCCAAATTGAAGACAAAGACAATGTCCTGGCATAGAGAAAGGTCGGCTTTGGATCAAACAGGCTGGAAACCTCCTGCTCAGATATCACGTGTGCATCTGCTTGCTTCACAGCTTCAACAGCTGAGGCTTGAATAGTTTCATGGTCCATCGGCTGTGTCTCCAAAGCGTCAACGTTGCACACAGCCAAGCTTTCCCCAGCAGGCTTCACCACCTTCACAGGTGGGGCTGGTGGTGGCATGGACTTGTCATCAGGCAGCAAACAGTTTGAGCCAATCACTTCCTTGACAACCGCTTCTCTTGCACGCAAGGCCTTCTCAGCCTGATCTCGATTTGTTGCCCGACAGCGTGCTTCAAACAAATCACGGGAGACCTTGACAGCCCAAATTGCTTGCTCTTTGGAGAAGCCTTCCTGGTGCAAAGTCTCCATATCCTTCAAAGCTCCTTCATCTGTGGGCCTGAGGACTTTGCACCCAGGATCTGTTGAAGATTCAAGCAACGCTTGCTGCAAGCTTTGCTCCTCCAACTCAAGTTGCTGGGCCAACTCAAGTTGTTCCATCAGCTCGCAAAGTTCAAGCTCTTCCTCCATCAGTTTCACGGCTAGCTGTTCGTCCTCCAGCTTTTTGATAGCATCAATGGTGTCAGGGTGAGCACTTGCTGCACTGGGGGGGGTGACGGCTGTGTTCGTGTTCCCTAGTGGCTCCTCTGGTGGCTCCTCAGCAACCTCGACATCCATGTAGTTGGTGGTGCAGGTCACTGCACGGAGGTCTTGGATGTCACCCAAGATCTGGCACTTGAGGCACCTAAAGCCATAGGTCCTATCCTTGACAATGTGATGTTCATGGATGCTCACCGGCAAATCATCGATTTCTTCGCGTGTCAATGGGGCATCGGGAGGCTTTGAACCTCGGCAAACATGGGTTGGCTTGGAATTGTTAGTCGGGTCGAAGCTAGATCGAAACTTATAATTGATCCATGCAGCCCGGCGGAGGCAGCTTCATCATCCACTCACAGCCAGGATGCGGAGCACTTGGTCGGGATCCTGGTGAGCAGAAGTTTGGGAATAGGGTGGGATGAGTGATCCGGCTCAAGTTGCGAAACTAGTGGGCGGGCACACCAAGCTCTCTCCTTCCAGACCACTTGCTTGGTGTTCTTCAGAAGCGGTTGGCGGTTCCTACAAAGTTGTAAGAAAACATCGATTGGTTCCGAAGAAAAATGCGTATAGAAGAAGGCCTCGTCAGGCTCACAAACGACCATGGGCTCAGGCTCGGTCTTGACAATGGGGTCGCCTACCTTATTGACAGCAATCAAAGGGTCCACCACAGGGTCATGGGCCAAGCTTTCGCATTCACTTTCTCCACCTTCCCCCTCCTCCTGATCATCATCATCAGGAACACCAAGGGAAAGCGAGCTGCCTGGGAAGACATGCATGATCATGCATGCATTTAAACAAATCATGTATGCATACACACTAGCTACTTGACAAACCTCTCATATCAAAGCGCCTTGTGTACCACGGGGTGAGGGTTCAGGTACAGGGATCTCTGCAAGTTCCATTAGCTCCCTAATTTCCACTTCCTTGGGACGATGCCCTCTCTTGATTGCACGGCTGGCGCAGTACACCAGCGACCGTAGAATCCAACCCTCGGTTTGCAGAGCCCCACCTTGGCAATGAAGACCCATGTAGGCGCATAAAACACATGCATGTATGACTATCTAGGTTCAAGGGCATTCAGTAGCAAGGCCCCGACGATCTGGCAAACTCTTTCCACGAGGTCTCATATGACATAGGAAAAGGTTGGCTGCTTCAACCAAAGTAGACAGTGAAGGGCGCAGTCCTGGGAACCAAAAAATAACACCTACCTAGGCAGAAAGTAACGGTTGTGAGATTGACCACATGATCTTAATGCTGGCTATGGTCCCACATACTTTACGATCGGCTTGATGATCGCAATGTTCTGGCATACCTCCTTACGTGTGATGGCCTTGTGCTCATCAACCCTTGCCAAGATCCCCTTGACAGCTAGGTTGCAAACCTGTTCACTGCCCTGCCATGCTGCCACAATTTGCTGCACTTGCTGCTGCGACATTGCGATCTCACAAGCCCACTAGCTACAGAAAGCAAAATGCTGAGGAAGGGTGACAGTGGTGACAACACACTCTCCACCAATCACAGCCCTTGCGTGCCAAAAACTCACGATACATAAGGACCAAAGACTGATGGCCTTCACAGCTCAGGCCCTATCATCACGTGGAGTACCTCGAGCGCGCACTCGACAGCACCTGTCAGTAGAGTGCCTGTTCACATTGGGGGCACGTGCCGTGCACCGGAGGCACAAGGTCGTTGGAACCCAGGCAGCCAAAATGGCTGATGAGGATCCACAAAGCGTTGTTCAAGCGTTTGTTCATCGATCGAATTCACGGATCCGAGCATAGCGTCCAAAGAATGCCTCTTTTACATAAAGCGCTCGTTTTGCTATGAAGTGCCTCGTTTGACACTTTGCGCTCGTTTTGGGCTAGAGGCAAATATATGCGCTCGTTTGAAGATCTAGGTATACTTTAACTAACTGTTGGTTCATCAAAATCTGCAATCATACAAATTGCATCAATCTGCAAACAAATCAGTGCCAGAAATGTTAGTTCCTGGAAGCAACCCACTTTGGCAATGAAAGAACACTATCCCCAAATAGTCAACAACTCCCCTTCTTTCTGTGCCGAACTGAAAAACTAGCAGCTACTGATTTCAGGTCACATCTCCATCCAACAGCTCACACAGCTGAATATGCCCAAACAACGACCAACCCCACCCTCTCAACCTTCGGCATCCACGTCCATCCACCGGGGACCCGGTCACCATCGCACCTGTAGGTGCCGGCCGCATAGGTCGGCATTTTGGCACCGACAGGCTCGAAGACCTGCGGCGGGTCATGGAGCGTTGGCATGTTGGTGTCCCGTTTGGGCGACCCAGTCGTACCTTCGTTTCGTTTCGGTGGGACGCCAGGGTGGGTGGGTGCCAGGAGGGTCCAGTCATAGTCATACCTGAGGAGGTGTCAATGAACATGACATGGTTCAAAGTTCAAAGATAAGAGCGATGGCCTCTAAACTGTCTAGTTGGATTCTTGCATACGCCCGTTCTTGGAATGTCTTTCCTTCTGCGTGCCACAAGCAGGCTGCGCCACAAGCAGCCATCAAATCATGAATTGGCAGTCTCAGCCATAGAGTCAAGATTCTGGATCAACCCCACAACTCGTGAACTCATGCGGCTCTTGGGACGTCCTTGCGACTTTTTGGGGCACACCCTCGCTTTCTGCAGCTGCTACGCTACGCCTTTTATATGCTACGCTAGAAGGATATCACACGACCACGGTGGCAGAGTGGAGGATTGGGGCGAATTACATTGGACTAGCGGCCATCCCACTTGGGAAACCGTTTAGCGCAGGCAGTGTAGCTGAGCATGCAGGTGTGATGGCCGCTCCGCAAACGTTGAGAAGTTGGGCCGACGCCCGCGCCCCAAGCAGCGCAAGTGACTAGCGCACAAAAGCGCAAGTGCCAACTGCGTCCGGGCTGCTTGTGCCGATCTCAAGATCGACACCTCCAACGCTAACATCATGCCAGTAAGGCGGATGCCCATAAAGTCATATCGCAAGGTCTGGCAGACCTTGTGATCGTGTGTAGTGCATTACGGGAAGCTACAGCGCTGGCGATTTGGATTAAACTCCTAAGAAGTGGATGCATCATCTATGTTCACCCACATTTAAAGAGTGATCGTTGGACCGACCCTGTACGTATGCCCTGCTTTTTACTTTCAAACATGGGTATTATATCAATATGTACGTATGCCCTGCTTTTTACTTTCAAACATGGGTATTATATCAATATATATATATATATAGAGTGATCCCAGACCTTCGGGCTCAAAAGCTCAGGGTCTCGTGGAGGACAGGCCTCCCGGGACTGCGGGTCTCGGCCACCAGCCGGGAACGCAGTGTCTACAAGGGCACTGACATCCAGGCCCAGCCATTTGTGCGGTCTGAAGGCTTCTCGTAGATTCCTGTGGTTTCTTTTGCAATGGATCGTTTTCCTGCGCTTGCGACCGTCGAGGAACCGTTTCGCACTCGCATGGCTGCCTTTCTCGATGCTGCACGGCATGAAGGTCCTTTCCTTCGGTTCGGGGATGAGCGCATGTGTGTTGGCGAAGCTGTTGGTATTTGTGGGGATGTGATCGACACGAAGTTGTTCAATTTCCTTCCCGGCAGGGGTTGGTGTTTGGATGATGCTTGTGAGTCCCGCTACAGCATTTCCATACCTGACATTGAGAAACGACCGATCAATTTCTATGTTGGAGCACAATTTGTCTGCAAAGGAAAGATGTCCCATGGTGGCACGTCCAATACGGTGCACTTTGACACCAATGTGGCCATTTGCACCAGACCGACATTTGATGCTGACATGACGTGGTCTGTCATCCACCTGTTTTCAGGTGGGTTCGCAGGTTGGGGCCAAGCCATGGCTTGGATCAATACGAGTGACTTGGCAGTGAACATTGGGCAGCAGCTGGACATCGATTGTGCACCTGAGGTCATTCAGGTGTGGGAGAAGAAACATGGCATGAAAGCGCTTGGAGCACCAATTTCGCCTTTCATTAGCTGGTCCCCACAGGACAACCTCGCTGTGTGTGGTCATGTGGCCGATTCTTCCCTTTTGAATCTTTCACAATGCCAGCTGAACTTGATAGTCACCATGTCACCGCCCTGCCAGAGCTGGTCGAAAGCCGGCCTCGGGAAAGGGCTGTCCTCAACAAATGGGCTAGCTTTTGCAGAAGCGCTTGTACAGGCATTCGGGTTCCAATCCCTTTTGGTTCTCGCCGAGTGCTCGGACGGGATCAGCCGGCACGACCATTTTAAGCTTTTGACCGATTTGGCACGTCTTTTCGGCTATCGTTTGATTTGGTCACAAGATACCACTCTACACCAGGTCTCTCCTCAGAACAGAACAAGATGGTTAGGAGCATGGGCCAGAGCAGACCTTGATGCCAGGCCTTTTGACGTTCGCCTCACCCCATCATGCCTGCCTCGTGTTCATTGGTCACACGACTCTTTCGAGTTCACCCTGCCCAGGATTTGGCTCGACCAGATGCTGCTCTCAGATACGGAGAAGAAGACCTACGGGGACATTCGATTCCTTCCGTCAGCCAAGGCCATGTCCCTCGGCAGTGCACCAACCGTCACTCAGGTCCTCATGGCCCGCTTGGTCCATGAGCATGAATTGATGCCTACGCTTTGTGCCTCGTACACAGAGCAACATTTGCTCGCTCCACAGCATCTAGCTCGCAAGGGGCTGTTTGCGGCATTACAACTGCTACCGGCAGGTTTCGCTTTTTTCGACCCTGCCAAGTTTGTCGCCATGTTTGGTGCCTTCACAGACCAAGTCCTCCCATCCAAACTCTCTGAGGCTTTTCGCTTGGTAGGCAACGCTATAGCTGTGCCGCATTCCCTGCTTGCCGTCCTCGTTGGTTTCCAATCCATCCTGTCCATCCGCATCGACATCTTCGATCAGGTGAGGACATGTTGGACTTCCAAGCTCACCGCAGACAATGCCTTGGTCTTCCCAGATGGCCCCCTTGGTGCACATTGCGAGGCGCTGCAATTGTCCCCGGTTCATTCAGCTCCGCACTGACTGCCCACGAGATGGGGACTACGAGATCCATATTCGTTTGCACCAGGGCAACCTCGCCCTCACCACCTTCGCATCAGCAACAGCCACCATTGGTCATTGCATCGACATCGCTTTTGATGCTCCTCAGATGCTGCACCGCTTCATCACTGTCACCTTCGACGGCCAACCACTGGACCAAGCCATTTGCATCACAACATGCACAGCCCAATGCACACCGGGCACATTCCACATCGGCAGCACGGCATTTGGCACTTTTCAGGTACAGGCTGAACCGGCACCACCTGCCAAACGAATGAAGCAGGACAGCACTACCCTTGTCGTTTCCCCACGCTGCCATACTCCATTCATGGGGAGACGGCTCCTGCACTCGTCTCAGTTCCTCAGGCCACTTTCGAGCAAGCCATCCGACACCTCACCAGTATTGGGCTTTTCCCGCTTTTCGAGCAATGCCAGATTCACCCACCCAGCCAGGCCTACAATTTCACCTTGCTCCTGCCCAGCCAAGGGGTATCCTACTCCAGTTGGATCCCTGCCTGTGAACACGACCAATTCGTGCACAGGGTACGAACCATAGCCAAGACCACCATTGGCCTGTACAAGCAATACATCAACGAGCACATCCACTCAGCCATTGCCATTTGGCAACCAGACCCCAGAGCAGAACAGCGATGCATCCTCCTCCGCCTCGTGGACGAGCCGGCGATTTGGGCTTGCCTTTATACGCCAACCTTGCAAGTTGGCACTCAATTCCAGCTCGGCAGCCGTGCGCATGCAATCGTCGACATCAATGGCTCCCCTTGCAACGCAGACCAGAGCCTCTCCAATGGAGACTTCATCACCCTGCAACCTCACTCCACTATACGTGCAGGTGGTCATCATGGTGGTGGTGCGCCTTTGCAGCTTCCTCAGGATGCCGACTTCACCCAGAGGGCAGAGTTTGCGGCCAACACGCACGGCTGGCTGGCAGCTGATGAAATGTCCTTCATTTGTCAGTCGTTGGCCTGGTCACCTGGTGCTGATCTGCATTTTTCACCACCAGTGTATTGGGATATCAACAAATCAGAATTTGATGAAGGACCGTTTGGACGCCCCATTGTGTGGGATGCAGGCCAGACCAACATTCCCATCCTTGCAGGGAACCACTGGTGCGGCATTGAAGTCGTCAAGACCAACAATGTGGTTCGTGTCACCACAGTCCATGTGCCTGTCCGGCTCCAAACCAGAATCATCCTGATTCTTGCCAGACTGATCGATGTCGGACCGCGCCGCATGCAAATCGAGTACGATCATCCCGATCACACACCACACTTATGTGGCTGGCAATTGCTGTTCAGGTGGGCAACGCAACTTGGCGTGCAACACAACATTGCCGAAATTGATGCCCAAGCTCCCACCAGCCCTCAGCACACTGACCAGATCAATCTGGTCATGCAGGCCTCCATTGAAGACTGGATCAGAGCTGACGCTCCGCTACATCTCCAGAACTTTGCCACGAGGCTGCGCAGGCATTTCTTTGTGGCCCTTGCTCGCAGGCATGACAAGACCGGGCCCGCAAATCAGAGACCACTGGCTACTGCCTTTCCGGTCGATTTCCAGCCCCAGCCTGCCCATCAGCCACAGGTGGCATACAATCTCCAGTTGAACCACATCCACGAGCGTATCGTCACTCGGCTCCATGGGCTCAACATCCACCCGGCATGGGCCTGTTCTGATGAGATCAATGCTGCGCTTGACCTTCCTCGCAAGATCCTGCCAGACACCATGCTCTGCCAACCAGCCATATGGGACAGTGTTGCGGATTGCCTCATCTTTCCAAACACACCGCCTCCCAACATCCAACCGTACCGACATGTTTTGTGGCCCATCATGGAGAACAATCACTGGATGTTGGCTGAGTGTTACAAAGATGACAGACGGGCTCAATTTTTCCTTACTGCTCCGCCCAATTCCACAGGAAGACTCCTACCATTGATCCAGCACCTCCGCACCGCCCTGGGATGCCAAAGCCAAGACTTCCTGTTGCACTGTGCGGACCAAACCAACCCACATGGCCTCTGTGGGCAATACATCGTAGCAGAGATCTACCACCGCATTGGCATTCAGATTCCACCTTTGTCCACCAGTCAGGAGCTTGAGATACAGACCTCCCCGCATGCTGCACTCATCGCAACAACATTGCAACAAGCCAGGGATGCCTGGGCCAGGGCCCTTGTTCCTCCGGACCTGCTACACTTTGCAG